CCCAGTGTTGGGAAGTGTTTCATGCAGGGGCTGTAGGTCCACTTTCAAAAGGAGAAAGGGCAGGTGGCTGCCCAGGAGTGGTCAAGCTTTCTCTTTCTAGTCACTGCTCCAATCTTGGGTACACCTCATACTACTCCATACCCCCCTGGGATGGGAGACGGAAGCACAGGCAAGAAAGTTACCATAAGAGCATGTGTTCTGGACGCTCTGGTAAAGGGGATTCCCTCTCTGAGGCCCGGGGGGTTTTGCAAGAGGGGCGGAAGCTGGGAGGCTGAATCAGCAGAGGGTTGCAGGGCTCCCCTCCCCGAGACAGTGAGTGGTTCCCCAGACTGTGGTCCTGAAGCTGCTGTGGGGCCACCATGTAGGTGGCTGGTGAGCTTGGGCTCCGCTGTCTTACTGCACATGTGACATGAGGCAGTTCTCTGTGCCCTGGTTTCCTCAAGCCTAAAATGAAGGGCCACTAGTAACTCTTTCATGAATGTATGCAAAATGCTTGGCACAGTGCTTGGAAGACAGTTAAGTGCTCAATAAATGTTGGTCATTATTATTATTATCATCTCTACAAGGAAGACGATCCTGAAAACGTTTCCTGAAAATGAGAGTACGACAGGCATCCAACGTACATTTCAGGGAAACAGCCTTGTGAGATCACCTATATGATGTGCAGTAGAATGGACAAATCCCCTCCACCTAAAACATTTCTATGAAATTATGTTGTTTCTTTATTATTTTGGGATTAACTAATCTTCTTCAAGATTTGTATTTCATTACTATATATATAAAAATGTTAATTATATACAGAATATATTTTATATATTTATAAAAAAAGAGCCAGGTTGCATAAAATTAGTAAAATAGAGACTAGGAAAGGAAAACCCCTCATAAACCCACCAAGAGAACTTAAAGTCAGAAAGTGCAAATAGGCAAGAGGTCTGCTTAAATATTTGGTAAAAGAAAATGTTCAATACAATAGATGAGGGGGGAAAAAAAACAAATTTAAGGGGTGTAGGCATAAAAGAGAAATAGAAAGTCCATCTGTCAGAATAAGAGGGTAAATATTTAGTCAAGACTCAGATAGAATTTCAGTAAACAGATTATTTCAATGGAAAATTTCCAACCTGAGAGCAAATACTTTAAGATGGGTTTCAACTGAGAATGAAAGCTCCCTGTTCCATGGCCCTGCCCTAGCCTGGAACAGCCGCTGAGTCCTTGTGGCTGTTAGGTTTTTTCTTCCTCGTTCCCCCATCTCCAGCCGAGACTATAATTTTCTTTCCAGCAGGAAACTGATACATACTAATGATGGCAGCTGAATTCAGAGGAGGAAAAGGAATACAGGGGACAGAGAGTCCTTGTGGGTTTAAATCGCTTTACAACTCAAAACAAAACCTCCAGATTTGGAATTTTTAAAACCTAGTTAATGGCTGAGAAAACCTCAAATGATTGGGAAGTACTAAGATAAAAGTTCGAATTACACAAAACACATTATTACCTTAAGCTTTTCTAATCATCTTCCCTGCCTTTCCCCTTCACTGTTTTTCTCATTGTTTACACCCCCAGCCCTTCCATGTAGTTCTAAGATAGTTTAGAGGTAGGAATAGCCTTCTGAGGTCACTTACAAAATAGTATTTGTGAGGAGATGGGCAGATCTTCCTCCATCCAAAAAAATTTCCCTGGAATTGATACTTTATTTCGTTGGGAATAATTAATCTTCATATTTAGATATGTTTATTGTTGAAACACACGTACATACATATGAATAAAATAATTACATTATGTAAAATTAGATTAGTAAGATGGAAAGTAAGAGGAAGAACCCCCTACCCCCCGCCCCTGCCTTAATCACACCATTATAAAATTGTGTTGCCTTTAACTTTAGTCTGGTCCTCCAAGCCTCACCCCCACCTCCCAAACCCTTCATACTGATTATCACAATGCCTGCATATATCTCCTTGACATTCCGTGAATGAATTTTCAGTTACATTCTTTTCAGTGGCAATAGGAATTTGGCTTCATAAGGGTCTTCATAAGCACTTATTCTGGCGAGGCAAAGCACATTCTTCACACAGGGCTTTACATGTACTAGCTGACAACCACTCTAAGATATAGATCCTATTATTATCCCCTTTTACAATTGAGAGCAAGTGTCCCAAAGAGGTTAAATTACTCCCTGAGGGTCACAAAGCTAATAAATGGCAGACCTGGGAGAGAAACACAGAGATGTGGCTTCAGAGACGACATGGTATACTCTCTACTCTTGAGTTTTGTGAGCCAATAATGGTGGTAGGTATATACTTGTTTACACATATATACTCATGATATAAACATCTGATTTGAATTCACAAGATGAAGTTAAATCTGATTGATACATGAATTTAAATAGGACTTGTTTCTTGATTACAACGGTTACTATTCTAAAAACTGAGGAAAACTCCGCATTTCAATCAGTTAATAAAAAACCCCTTTAATGAGAGCCTGCTAAGCTCTTAGCTGGGGGAGAAAGAATCTAAGGCATGATCCATTCTTTCAAGGTACTCACAAGGTAAAACTCTAATGCCATGACATTATTTTGGAATCATACTGAAATCTAAACATCCAAGTAAGTGATCACCTTGGTGGGTGATACTCTTAGCTATTGTTCAGTGGCCTCTGGGCACAATTCATGAAACACGCAAGTATAGTTTTTATTATTTTAAGCTCACAAGTGTATTTTAATCCTAAACAGTGCTATCCCTCTTAATCACCATTGTATTTGACATTTGGTTAGTTCTAAAAATTTAATTCGTCCTCAAAGGAGGACAATTTGTTACCGCAGTTAGTGTGGGTGCATTATGCAAATGCATACATTCATAGAGACAGACACAACTACATACACATACACAAATATCCTGTGGTTTATGAAGGCAGTTCCCAAAGAACTAGACAAAATCAGTACTTGTCCAACAGGAATATAATATGAGCCATATATGTAATTTTGATTTTCTAGTGGCCACATTTTTAAAAGCAAAAAGAAACAAGTGAAATTAATTTTAATAATATATTTTATTTAATATATGAAAAATATCATTCTGACACATGATCAATATAAAAAATCAGTGAGAAATTTTACGTAATTTTTTTTTTTCACTTGAAGGTGTGTATTTTATTCTTACAGAACATCTCAGTTTGGATCAGCCACATCTCAAGCACTTGAGCCATGTGTGGCTATGGCAGTGCTGGATAAAATACTTAAGAGTTCTGACTCTTACACTGGGATGAGAGTAAAAGATGTAAGATGTCCCTTTCACATCTTACTCTGCAGTCATGACTTCAGAAGAATACATTGATGCAAGTAAAATACTTCTGAGCAATAAATGAAAGCTTATGATCACATTTAATTGGGGTATAAACTCTAAATAACCCAAGTTTGGAGGAAAGAATGATTCAAATGGCCAAAGTTGTCTTTATGGAGGAGCGAAAGGACAGGCAGTCAGAGGAGAGAGGGTATTTCCCAACATTCTAGGGTGCCATTATCCCTTCCAGACAAGGGATAACGGTACTAATATGTCAAGAAAAGCTTAGTTCTTTGACCGTTGATTAGTCAACCACACAACTCTGATAGGATCCCACTGACTGGACTTGCGGATAGTAAGCAACTCTTTCATGGCCAAGGCCCCTTAGACACGGAGCAGAGAAGAATTATAAAGCTATATGGAGTTTGGATTGAAACACAAAAATGATGGAAGCCCAAAACCACTTACCTCTGGTAACATCTGATTTACACTCTCTGGACCCCAGTTAGCTCAAGTGTAAAATAAAGCGGACACAACCTTGAGGTCTCTCATAGCCAGGGTGACCTGTAATTTATTGTGCAAACCTGGACACTTTCAAGAGTAAAAGGGGGCACTATTAATAATTACACTGGGACAAGAGGAATAAACTAGGACTGTTTTACAGCTACAAAACTCTATGATCCTATTCTACCAAACGGATACAACAGCTACCCTTATGAAGGGGCGTGGAGCTGATGAAAGTCCAGGCATGTTCTTATTGCCTCCGCATGGCCACAGGGGCTTTGTGGGCTAATATGCATTGATCCGGGCGAGGCGGTTTCGCACCTCCCCCTCAAAGCATTTTAAATTGGTTTGAATTTGGGAACAGGGTTCCATCTGGACAGGGCTGGACTCTGACAGCCTGAATATATTTACTGAAGACAACAAATCATTGACAGACTAAATTTAACAGAGGAAAGGCCTGGCCTGCTTGTACTCAGAATCTGACTTTGTAATTGTAGCCTCCTCTAGACAGGCCTAATCAATTAGAAGAGGCTGATTTTAACCAGTTGCAGGCTCATTACCCTGCATTCCAGTTTGTGTTGACGAAAATCAGTTTCAGTCTGTGGCCTGGAACTCATGTACAGCACTTCCTGTGGCCTCTTATATAAACACATCAAAAAATTTTTTTATTTGGAGTTGCCCTTCTCCCTTTTAAGAAAACCACTTTGTGAATCATGATTAAAATAGAACAATTGTATGTGGATCTGGGGCCCATACCAGGAAACATACATGACCAAGGAACATGTATAAAGCCAGAACTTAAGGGAGCAAGGGGTGGATCTGAGACAGTCTCAATACCCAGGCTCCGGCATTAAATGAGCCCCGCTCAGTTATCTCCGCAGAGGGAAACATAAAGAACTCTCAGTTATTGAAAATGACGACCTTTCAAAGAAAATGCTGAAATAAGAGACAGCCAAGGTCTTAGAAACACAGAGGTTATCTGAGTCCACACTCTTCCCTGAAAGACCAAATAGAAAATAAATAGCAAATTTCCAACTAAACAAGGACATGTTTCCCTGAGAAGCTTCTATGAGGAAACCATATGACACTATGTTTAATTTTGATGTGTGGTTTAGTCTTAACAAAAGTAGAAGGTAGGGGAGAGTGTGTGGTAGAGTCACTCAAAACCCCACCTACATTTCAAAGACCTGTAACCAGTCCAAAATATGATATAACTATGAATCATACCTGGCTGGTTGCCTTTTGTGGGTTTGTCAAGGCAGTGAGTCAACAGGAAGAGAATATCAATATACACAGCTCTGGTCACCAAACATGGATTTTGCCTAGAAAGGTAAAAAATAGAAAATAAATTGGTATTTTTCTCTCCTTGAGGCCTCGGTCACAAAAAAGAGAAAATGGATATTTTCTACCAGGCATGTCATGAAGCTTATTAGGGAGATAGAGCAAATACCGAAAAAGAGTAGATAATCACCTACCGTGAGAAAGCGTCAGTCAGTTAAGCAGGAAAAAGAAACCCTAAAGCACATGGCGGAGGGCAGGCCAGGCTTGTACAAAACAGATAAAAATCGATGCTCTGGCTCCAAATAAAATAAACTGAAAACAAACAAAACCAATATCCTATCCAGGTTATTTGAAAACAAGGAAATAGAGTACGGGTGTGGGGGAGGACCATATTCTATTATTTTCTTCTTAAGTGAACACATTTAGGGGAAAAACCGTTGGTTATGAGAATCACCGATTTAGCATTTTGGAGAAGGAAAACCACACTCACATGACAAACTATCTATGGACTTAAAGTAACCAGCTGAAAAACACAAAAGCATTGACAAATACTGGAGCAGACATTCCCAATAAATGGATTATTTTCTTCTCTCAATAAATGGAGCAGTTCATTGTACTCTTTGACCCACAGGCTGGAAAAAGCCAGTGGGCTTGGATGTAGGGGTCCAGATTAAAAAGGAAGAACAAAGACCTTTTTTTTGATAACAGCACTTAGGTCCCTGGCTCTGAGACTCAGTTCATCCTGACCACACATGAAAAGGGCCCAAACCTCCGCTGAGCACTAGGAATTCAGCACAAGTGGTAAAGACAGTAGGGACAGATCTGGGTTTAAGTTTTGGCTTTGCCATTTACCTCTGTGACCCGAATCGGATTCCTGACCTGTACAACGGGAGCCCTCTTCAGCTTGGTACAGCAAACTAGAGTGCTTTTAAGTGTTCATTCCCTGCCCAACTCTGCTTCCAACATGAGACTGAGGGAGGGCACAAGTGTTCTGGCCAGTGGATTTCCATTTCCTGACCCCTAAACCCATCCTTCTCACTCCCTGGAAATTAAGTTTACCATTTCCCTGAAGTTTATTCCCACTCTCTCCTGAACTGCCCATATCCTAGGCTGCTATATGTGCCAGCACAGAAAGCAAATCAGATACTTTTGAATTAAAACAAAACTGTCTTGCTGTGTTCAAGGTCTCTCTGTGACTGACCTGCCTTATTTCTCTCCCACTGACTTACTTCCTCCACAGTATCTGCTTGCTCCTGGGCTCCTACCTTGCTACGACTTCTAGTTTACACGTACATCTCATGCTTGGCCTAATTTCATAACTGCACCTGGTTATTTTTTTAAAATTAGTTTTAAAAAATAGGTAACACATGCTCATGGTATAAAAATAATTCAAAGAGTAAAAAAGGGCATAGTGTGAAAATGAAGTGCCTTTCCACACCCCCACCTTCTCCTCCCCTAATCTGTTCCCTGGGGCAACCATTATTACTACCGAGTATATCCTTCCAGGCACATTCTGTTCATTTACAGGCACCTATCTAGAGCTACTCACTTGTTTATTTTTACATAAATAGTGACTTATTATATATAGTAAGTCCTAACTTAACATAGTCAATAGGTTCTGTGACTTTAAGTGAAAGGCAAAACCAGTTTTATGACAGGCTCATAGATATAAACAAGAGTTAAGTGCCTCAACATCTCATCAACATCATAACAAGATGACATGGAAGGAAGCAGCGGTATTTGAGGACCTGCTGTACTAACTCCTGAGCGTTTGGTTTTTTCCCACTATTATACATATTTTGGATGTCATCTTATTAAAAACATAGAGATTTGCTTCATTTTAAAAAATGGTTGTAAACGGTTCCATTTCATGGGTGTGCCAATCCTCTACTGAAATAACTCAGACTAAGATCCTTTGCTGAAAGCAATGCTGTAATAAACATACCTGCCCATCAGTTTTATGCATATAAATGAGTATTCAGAGGGCAAATTCCCAGAAGCTGAATCGCTAAATCAAAATATTAGCACATTTAAAATTTTGATTGATTTCAACAAGATGTTTTCCAAAGAGACTGTACCAATTTACACTTTCACCAACACTGTGTAAAAATTCTGGTTTCCCCACGACCTGGCCAACACAGTGCCTTGTGGTTTTTCTGTTTTTGTTTTTAAATATTTTATTTATTTATTTTTAGAGAGAGGGGAATGCAGGGAGAAAGAGAGGGAGAGAAACATCAAGTTGTGGTGGTCTCTTGAGTGACCTCCACTGGGGACCGTGCCTTGTTAAACTCCAACTTTTGCCAATATGAGAAGAGAAAAATGGTATCTCATTATTTTAAATTACTATCATGTTTATTATAAGTGAGGGTGAATATCACTTTATATGCTTTTCAAAAAACATACCTGGATTTCCTTTTCTGTGACCTGTGTTCAAATTCTATGTATATTACATTGTTGGTCTTTTCCTTATTGGTTTGTAGGAACTCTTTGTATATTAAAGAAATCTGCTTTGCCACGTGTTACAAATATGTTTTTGTAGTTTGTCTTTTAACTTTATTTATAATTTTGCAGTTTAAAAAGGTTTAGTTTTATGCAAATACATCAGTTTTTTATTTGTGTCTCCTGGGTTTTATGTCACACTTACATAACCATTCTCCAAAATTTTATTTATATATATATTTTAATTTTTTCCTACATTTTCTTCTAGTACCTTGCAGTTCTATTTTTTTGTTGTTGCTAAATACTTTCATCTACTTGAATTTTTTACCCTCAATCCCGCCCCTACCTTTTGTCTCAACCTGGCTTCACCCAGGTCTCTCAATCGTAACTTCCTATCCTTACTCTTCTACCCACCGTTAAAAGCCCACAGTCTATGAAGACTTCTTTAATGACATCGTTTGCAATTCCAGCATTTCCACTGTTTAACAGGTGGGACCTTCCCTGCCAAAGAAAGGGCTAGTCAAGAAAGAAAGAGAGAACACCCAGAGCAGGGGTAATGAATCACCAGATACCCAGCATAGGGCAGAGTAAGCAGCCTGCAGAAAGCAAGTGAAGTGCCTCCTGAGCACCCAGTTTTAAGGTAGGTGCTGGGAGGAGTTGCACAGGAGATGATTTCTGACTTCAGAGAATGCTGCATAGTTATGTAGAGACAAAAATAAAGTCAAACTTTGGGAGAGGATACAAGGAGTTAAGCACAAGAACAAATCAGGGTGGGCTGGAGAAATGAAAAGGGTTTATGAAGATATAATTCCAGCTGGGCCCTGAGGGATGCAAAGAACTTAGACAAAGTTGACAAGGAAGGTCATTTTGAGAGGGGCAATAGATGTGGAAAGGAATTAGTCTGGCTTGTCTAGGGACCTGGGGAGACCAGGTTGGGAAAATGAAAGAATATATTGAGGAGGGAACAGGAGCAAGGAAAGGGAGGCCTTTGGAGGATGGGATACTTTGTGCTAATTGGATGCTTCTTAAGAGTCAAAATGTACCGCCTGCTCCTATGTGGTCTCACAGAGTCACAGCTTCTCACCCTGGATGTTTTTCTGTCTGTGGAACCATAAAGGGAAGTGTCGGGGGAACTGGTTTGACTTTCAAGTCTGATGAGGATCTTAGTTTCCATGAAATTTTTAGCTAATTTTTTTTTAAAATTTCTAAATGAATAAAGGAAAGTTTGGCATTCTGTAAACCCCCCTGCCAGGCTGAAGTGTTCTGCGTCTACTCTTGACCTGGCCTAGGCTGGTGCCCTGGGACACTTCAGGGACCATTCTGACTGCGCCCATAACGGCAAGGCTCTGGGCCAAGTCTGAGGTAGTCAACGAGATCATGGGAGGCTCCCTCAACTGCTGCTGCTTTTGATTCCATAAAACAGTGAGGACTGCGCCACAGTGGAGTCCGTCCGTGGCTTCTCCTTGGAGACTGACTCAGAAAGAAACTCTGGCGCACAGCCCGCCATTCATGGCTCCACCCTTGAGCACCACCACAGCCGCAGCCGCAGCCACATGACATCCCTGTCTGGAGTCGGAGCGGGGCTTCACTCTGAACTGGCTTCTAAGTCAGGAAAATGATTCCCCCCCCTTGTTTTCTCACTAGTACTCGGTGTTTGTTCTGACTTGGAAACGGTACACTGTGAGTTCAGGGTGAGCCAGAGGTTTGTTCTCAGTCTGTCAAACCACTTTGATGATGGGAATAAAATCCTGGGAAGAGCAAGCCAGCTGGACAGGAAACCAAGCCACAGGGTTTTGGTGGGCTTGGGGCTTTTTTCTACCCCCAAATGGAAAAACCCTGGCATGGGTCATGGTATAGTGAAGATTTAGTGTTTTAAAACCCCCCAAAGTGGTCTGGGTCTAACAGATGGGCTGAAAAACAGCCTACCAGTGGCTTTAGAGGAGCAGCAGGAATCAGGTACTACGAGGACTAAATGTACATATATAAAATGAAACAAAGGGCTTGTTAAGAGTCTTGCTTTCTTCCACTTAAAAAAAAAAAATCATTTGTCTCTTGACAAATATCTGCCCAAGAACCTGATTAATATGTTTTTGCCTTGGGAAATCTCTGAACTTCATTAAACCTCCTGCCCTCTCTCCTGGAAGTTGGGGGGAGGCAGAACACAGGGCAGAGAGAGCAGGGCTTCCCAGACACGTCCACAATGGCCCCAGTGTCTAGAGGACAGCAGGAGCTCTTGGGAAGCCTGTGATAAATTATTCACTTCTCCTGTCCCTTCCGGAATCCCAGTGGCTGCAGAGCTTTTTCACTGAGGACCATTCATTCAGAAAACATTTACTAAGGGACGACTAAGAGTCAGGAATAGTGCCAGTGTTTGGTGCTATGAAGACGAAATGATTCAGGGACATAGTCACTGCCCTCAAGGAACTTCGAGTCCTGAATGGTGTTTTTCAAACTGTAGGTTATGACCCATTTTTGTTGGTTATGAAAGTCAACTAGTGGGTAGTGACCAGCATAAGAGGAAGAAAGGGTGAAGGGAGGGAGGAGGGAAGGAAGGTGAGAGAGGAAGGACGAGGAAGGAGAGAGCAAGCTAGGGAAGGGAGGA